AAGGAAAAACAAAAACAAATTGATTATTATCTCGAGTTATATAAAAACTTATGTATATCAAAATTGTTCACTTTATCTAAAATTCGCTAGTGAATGAAAGAACTTTACTAGTCAATCAAAAGAACACCAAATTTATGTCATACTGATAGTATATCAAACTTTTCTATTTCTTAGCGGATTTTTCTCTTTTCAATGGATTATCATTAGTTTTTTGTAAGAGGGAAAAAAGGAATATTAGTTTATCTCTCATATATATATATAATAAATTTGTTCATTTGCTTTAAATTAATTCAAATTTATCTAAATGAATCAATTCATATGAAATTAGCCAAAGATTCGAGTAAAAGCAGCTAGGAACTTGTTCCAATAGAATTCTAAGTACAACTCGACGAGCTCTATCCAATGGTATGTTCAAATTGTTCATAGCTCAAACTACGATTTTCATAGCGTCATCTATGGTCCCAAAAATCATACTTTGACCTATGAAAAATTTGAATATACCATGGAATAGAGCTCGTCGGATTGCACTTGAAATTCTATTCGAACAAGTTCCTAGCTGCTTTTTCTCGAATCTTTGGCTAATATCACCCACATTTTATATGAAAAGAAAAATCCTTTATACAACAGAAAAGTCCGCTGAATATAAGAAATACCTCTTACCGGCGTATTTATATATTGTTTTTTTCTATAACTACTGACATACATGATATTTCATTAGGTATGGAAAATGCGATTCTTCAATGATTTACTATCATTGTTCATTTCTCAATGTCTTTAATAGTATCGACTATAGAAGATCAAACTTTCTTAGGATTTACTCGCAATGTATCTCTACAAAACACACTATTTGGAAATTCTCGTAAATTTGTATATGATGCCTGGAATTGTCTTGTATTGAGAACTCTTAAGGGGACACCCCCCCCCCCTTTCCGGGGTTTCTCGAGAACGGCTCATCAGAAAAATTTGAAACTTTCACAGCTGATAGATCTCGATATGTAGAGTAAAAGTTGTCATAGACTCAAAATTCCCAAATACTTCTTTCTAGGAGATATTGGGGTTGCAATGGCTAAAAATCGACCCCCAAATCGCCCCCGTTTCTCAGGCACAGTAAATCCGATTAGGCTGAAATTTTTTCTACAGATAGTAGAGACACTTTATGGGGCCTACTTTTTTTGGTTTCTTTCTATCACTTACCGTTCGAATAAAAAAGCCAAAATACCAAGAGCATCCTAAAAAACCCATGTTTTTTTGAATAATGCTTGTCTTGTAAGGCCTGCCAAAACTCAACGGTACAATATTTTTCAAAACAAAAAAAATTAGGCCCCCTAAAGTGTTTCTACTATCTGTAGAAAAAATTCCAGCTCGATCGAATTTACTGTTCCTGAGAATCGGGGGCGATTCTGTAGATTTTTGCTGAAAAATCTGGTTTCTAGAAAATCGCGAAGGAAAGAAAAAATCGTGCTATACCCCTACGGCAATCGATTTATCTTTTCGATTTTATTTTTGCTTTAGAGCTATATTTGAGTTCTCAAAACGTTACCAGTAGATAGAGGGCACTTGAAAACACATGTAGAGCAGAAAAAATGAAAAATTTGAAAATTCTGGGTCCGGAAAGGGGGGGGGAGTGTCTTCTTAATCAATTTTTGTTTCGTTCACTACATGTTAACTATCAAAAGATCATCTCGTGAGAGTAACTATTCAATGGTGAATAAGAAAGTTAACATTGGATATATTTTTTTAATGAATGAATTTGTGAATAAATCGAAACAAAATTGTATTAATCACATTCAATTTTAACTTTAAAGTATATTAAATTTTGAATAACACATTATGAATTATAAACATAATGCAATCAAATGATACATGTAAATTCCTTCTTTTGAACAACTCATAGGACTGAAATTGAAAAATAATTTAATAATACAATGTAACTGTTATTTATTTCTAAATAATTTGGCGTTAGATGTTTTGTTTTTTTTTTCTTTTTCTTAATATTTTTATTACATACTTGTGGAGTAACATTAATTCTTGTTGTCCAATCACCACCATGTTCTCCATTAATTTGCTTAAGCCACTGAACATTTAAATGTAAATTATCATCATAAATTTGTTCAATACCAAATGTTTCTCCATCATGATAAGTCCATCCATATTTTAAATGATCATTTTGATCACACCAATGTCTATAAAAGAAATTGTTTGAAGAAAAAAAAAAGTATTTCCATTTTTTTATCTTACCTAAGAAATCGATCATTTGATTGTTGTAATTTATTATAATCAAACCACATTAATCCTCCACTTAATGATCGAGCACTTCGATGTTTTATACCAAAATATAAATTCGATCTTTAGAAAAGAAAAAAACTTCAACATAGACTTTGCGACACGGTTCGCATCTGTGATGAAATTTTCAGCAAGATCCGACTTCGAAAACTTTCCCAACTTCTCATTCTGTTATAAGAACATTTTTTCGTACTTCGTTACATCACTAATCAATGATTTTACCCTTATCTAGAGGTGTAAGCCGATCGGCTGACAAGGAAATCTCTTTTCGACCAAGACCGATGTTCATTTCATGAGATCATAGCTTTTATCGAAAAAATCCAGTAAAATTTTGATATGTCAAAAACGAAGGTTCAAAAAGTCAAATCATTCTAGACTTTTCTATTACTCAAGAAATGAACATTGTCTCAATCGAAAAGCGATTTGACTTCTGAAGAAGTTCCCTCATTAGCCACCATCGCCGATTGACGCATCGACTTACATCTCTATCCATATTAATAACATCTCGTTATAATATATAAACTACTTTCTTGTTGAATTTCTGGGGAGTTAAAAGTAAAAGAAATGTATTTCAAAATACTCAGGATTGACTAAAAATTCTAAGCCCGGCGGCTTTAAAGGATCTTGTCGGATAAGGTAACATATTGAAAACAAAATATACTACATTGTAGAGCTTTTTGAAGCGCGTCGAATAGTTTATAGTAAATTCTAACTTTGAAGAAACTAGAGTCAATTTATTGATAGAAAATTACACACTCCCAAGATGACCAGAGATGTTACGCATATGAAGTTGTAGCTCGTCAAAAACTCTAGAAAATCGTATGTGAGGAAAAAATACTTTCGACTATATTCAGTAACCTATCATGCTTGGTAAAGTCTTATGAAAACAGGATTTACTATATACCATTTGACTTGTCTCAAAAAGCTCTACAGTATGGTATACCGGGTGTGGCAAAAGTTTTGCGACATTTTTTGTTTTGCATTTATCTCTGTTCAGGAACATGACAAAATGTCGATCTTTTTTTTTAAAATATGCACCGTTGAATTCTCTACAAACTTCTATTTTCCTTAAGTTAAAACAATAGAGTTGAACATTTTTACAGGTTACATAGTGTAATCATGTGAACTATGTTTACTTCCCACAGGGTTTTTAATGATTCTTTCTTTTTATGCAAATGAATATTCTGTAATTAAAGCATAATTTATTGCTGGACAACGCTTGAAATCCTCTATCGATTGAGTATATATATATCTGCCTTTTTCAAATGCTTATTCTTTCGATTGAGCGCTCTGACATATTTTCAAAATAATGCAATTTGCATGTATGACTTCTCTTCTCCAAAGAAAGCGTCCTTGGAATGCCACCTATAACTAAACGATGTTAATTTTGCCAGTATTCTGTAGAGAATTGATTTCTTTGTCTATATGGGTCCCAAATAACGTGTGAAAAAAGCGATTCAGATGGAAGAAGAATCCGAATAATGTTAAAAGAGACGTTTTCATTGTAGCATCATAGACAGGCTATAGCTTTTAGATAAATATGGATTGTGATCAAACACTTACAAATAATTCTGAAAGAGCATTTGATATACACTCAAATTATAAAAAGAAAGTTTATTTCGCGCCTATTTGTAACTTGGAAAAATCGTTGAAAGAACAAAAAACAACGTGTGCGGGAAGTAAATGTAGTTCACATGATTACACTATGTGACCTGTAAAAATGTTCAACTCTATTGTTTTAATCTAAGGAAAACAGAAGTTTGTAAAGAATTCAACGGTGCATCTTTTAAAAAAAAGATCGACGTTTTGTCATGTTCCTGAACAGAGATAAATGCAAAACAAAAAATGTCGCAAAAATTTTGTGACACCCGGTATTTCGTTTTTCATTTCTCAATAGATTACCTTATCTGTCAAGATTCGTCCTTTAAACATTAAGGTCTTAGAATATTTCATCAATTCTAAGTAGATAAAGCAATTACATTGTGTTTACTTTATTTACCTATATGTTCCCCAAAATCTTTGTGGACTTAATTTTGGTGTTGTATCATTAATATTAATAAGTTTTGGTAATTTAACTGGAATATTTGTATATTCATATTGATTACGATAATGAATAATAGTTATTATAATTCTATAGGAAAAAAATATTATTAATATTCCAATAATAATTGTTATTAAATAAGATGGAATTGTAATTGGAAATTTTTTTTTCATTATATTTTTAAATAAATATTCAAAACGAGATCGATTTGTTAATGGAAAATGACGATGTTGATTTCGTCGTCTAGCTGCAGCAGCTGCTGCAACAACATTTAGATTTCCATTTGTATTTTCATTATTTATACTCGATGAACGTTTATTATCGAGTTGTCGACGACGTTGAGTTATTTTTGCACTCATCTTGTTTTCGTTTTCTTATTTTATTTTACTTATACATCTAAAAATGAAGTTTTTTTGTTTTTTTAAATTATCAATAATAAAATACACAATAGTGTTTATGTTGTTCATTACAAAGGATGTAAAGATTGCACGAACTAGCGCATTAAACAAACAATAAAACCATTATCGAATAGTTGAATAATCAAATGTTAAGAGAGCAGAAAAAAGAAAACATGTCTAATCACCATAGCAAGATATAGGAGCAGAAAAAAAAAACACAAGACACAATAGTTCAAAAAAAAAAGTGAGATTTAATAGATAAAGGAATGTTGCTAAATTTAAAATGTTTTACGATGAATTACTTTAGCACCTTCAGTGTCATATTCACGTTTTGTTACCCAAATTTTTTTAAATGTATCAAGTGAAGCCAAAATTGAACCACTAATATTTCAAAAAACAATACATATGTAATAAGAATTTCAAAATAAATTGAAATCTTTATAATAAACTTACCCAATCCATGTTGAATAGAGACGTTCACGTGGCGCAGAAATTTTTATTTTAACTTCTTTAGGTGCTATTCGTTTTAATTCACCAAGTAAACGATCACCAAAACCTAAAAATATAAATAATAAAATATTATTCAAATGAGAATTCTTGTAATATTAATTGATTTTCAACTGACAATTTTGTATGAGTAATGATTTGATTTTTCAATAAATGCTGTATTCACATGGAAAATCGATTTTAAATTTTGCACATGCCTACAGCTTTTTATCGAAAAATCCAGTAAAGATAACTTTAGAATTTTGATTCTAGAATGGGATATGTAGAGATTTTTAAAGACAAACTTTCTCAACCTAATGATATATATGTCGTGTTAAAATTATTTCAGATCAACTAAAAACTAAATAATTATTCAATAATTGATGATATCATAATAAAAAAAATATACTGTGCACCTCAAAAATGCCCCCCCCCCTTTCTATTTTTTAGTTTTCATCATTAGACCTTTTTAATTTATTAACTTCCTATATATAGAAAAAAAGCCCAGAACACGCTGCATTTTATGGTATATTTACATCGAACAACAAATGCAGTTTGAAGTATAAAAGGAGTATTAGAAAAAGATGTTACATTTTCTTTTACTGCAAAAATTGATCAAAATCTTAAAATGTATGAAGAGTAACTAGTTTTTAGGACAACTTTTGATTGAAATAAGATAGATACCTGCAATTTTCACCGTTGGAAAGAGGAGATAAAGATGCATCGAATTCTATACTTCGCATATCTCTGACAAGTTTTGTTAGGATCTCTAGTGAAAGACACTAACAAAACTTACCAGAGATATGCGAAGTATAGAATTCGATGCATCTTTATGCTCTCTTTCTAACGGTGAAAACCGCAGATCTCTATCTCGTTTCAGTCAAAAATTATCCTAAAAACTAGTTACTCTTTATACATTTTAAGATTTTGATCAATTTGTACAGTAAAAAAATGTAACGTCTTTTTCTAATACACTTTTTATACTTCAAACTGTATTTATTGTTCAATGTAAATATACCATAAGATGCAGCGCATTCTGGACTTTCTTTCTATATATAGGAAGTTAATAAATAAAAAATGTCTAGTGATAAAAACTAAAAAGTACAAAGGGGGGGGGGGAATTTTTGAGGTGCACAGTATATTTATAATTAATTTTGCATTGTAATAATATGAATATAATTTTTTTTGAAAATAAGTAAATTATTGAAAGATTATTCAAGAACATTAAAAACTACATTTCATTGATATTTTATATAATTATTGTTCAATCCATATGCTTGTACAGTTAAAATATATTACAGACTACGAAAGATAAATTCAAAAAAAATTTCTATAAAAATAAATTCTGTTAGTCCTTAAAGACTTCAGTATGTGAAGTCTTTGTTCAACTTGATGTTAGCCATCGTCTTCGAAATGCTGCATTTTATTCTTGATGAATTCTTTTTGTTTCTATTACTTAGATCTGACCAAAATAAGCAAATATTTTTAATTTTATTTTATCAAATGTTGAGGATAGTTGCCATGATTATTTATATCAAGTTCAATTCTTTGTAACAATTTATTAAAAGTTTTTTTTTTTAACTGTTTTTTTCGAAAAAAATTTTAGCTTCTTTGGATACTGTATGAGTACATAATATTTCATTTATTTAATTAATTAAACTTCCTTTGATAGAGCTACTTAATCAAAGATTAGGTACGGCGCATATGACTACTGCGGCATTATAATGATGCCCTCTTCTGTCAAATAATGAATAACATCGGATGAATATGAAGTCAACGATGATCCCTCAAGCAGTTTTGCATTTTATACCTGTTTTTGTTTTCATATTACATTTACAAAACGCTTCAGACAATTTTCAATATAATATTTGTAACCTACTGTCATGCCTTTATCTACACTCAAGGCTATTTGATTTAAAGCGTCTGTCAAACAAAGTTTATGTTCAAATCTATCTCCATAAACAATAGTCTTTGACGATTCATCCTCAATAAACCAGCTAGAATCAGGTGATTGATGATTAACTTATATAAAATAAATTTATACTTCGTCACTAGTACTACTAGAACGCAAATGACAACATCTGACAAAACTTCGCTAAAATTTTTTTTCAAAAAAACAAACAGTTCAAAAAAGCTTTTAATAAATTGTTACAAATATAGAACTTAATGTAGTATGGATTGAACAATAATTATATAAAATATCAACCAAGTATAGTTTTTAATATTCTTAAATAATCTTTCAATAATTTACTTATTTTCAAAAAAAACTATATTTGCATTATTGCAATGCAAAATTAACTATGAATATATATTTTTTTATTATGATATCATCAATCATTGAATAATTATTTAGTTTTTAGTTGATCTGAAATAACCTCGACATGATATATATATATATATACTATAAAGTTCTATTGCGTACCATGGAAATATCAAACATAAGGCGTCACCTTCATCACAACCACATTTGAATGCAGTGAAAGTGGCGCCCTCTGTTGATATTTCAACGGTATACAATAGAAAATCAAACTATTTTGAGACTTCTCGATTATCCATCAAATGAACATCGTGGGGAAAAATACAATCTATAACAATTTGCAGTTGTTTACAAGGATACTTATTCAACTTGGAATGTCATGTAACAATAATCAAAAGTTAGAAAGCAAATCTAAACATACGATTACATTATTTAAATAATATGTACCTCGAAATAGTGTGGAGCCTCCAGAAAGAACAATATTTTGATAAAGTGTTCGTCGTAAATCCATATCGGATCTTTGAATTGAACCAGATAATATTTCATGTACACCTTCGCATTCTTCTCCAATTAATTCAGGATTAAAAAGAACTTCTGGTGCTCGATAGCGACTTGTACCAAGCTGAAATAATTTTCAAAAAAATTTTCTTTTTGTTTTCAAAATATAATTATTTCATATACTTCAATAGATGTTCCATCAGGTAATGTAAATTGTGATTTATCACCTTGATTTGTTTCATCTTTTTGTACTGTTGGTGATAAAAAACATACACGTTCTTTTATATTTTTAACTATTTCAAATTCTGCTGTTGTTTTAAATGTATAACCTTCTTTTCTTAATAATAATTTTAAATAACGTGTTACATCTCTACCAGCAACATCATTTCGAAGTATACTATGTGGCATAGCAAATCCTAAAAATTAAAATTATATATATATATATATTTTGTCTTATACATAAAAACAATCAACCACTCAACTACAAAACTGTTATAAAAGAGAGACGTTATTAATATACGGTCTCCGATACGGGAGATTATTGCTAAGATGCAGAGACCATTGAATCCAAAATTTTCGCATTCGGACCCAGACTAGCATTGTAAATTAAGAAAAACTCCTTAGGGTATACTAAAAGTAAGGCCTATGGCATTTAAATACCTTATAGAAAGGTTGAGGGAAATTTATATATGCGCCGATGGTTAAAATAATGCCCTATATCTCATTATTTTTCAAAATAATAAAATTTCGATAAGAACTGTTTTTTTTTAATGATATATGACGATAATACTTAAGCATTTTGATAGGAACAATATACATAACTCCTCAATGATAAAATCTAAATTTCTGACTCAAATCTTTAAATTGGCAGTTCAAATGTACACCTGATCATTGAAAAAGTAGGTTTGTTTTCAATAAAAATCGATTAAGAACTTTACGATTCTATATTTTTTTTATCTCTTCTTTCTAAATATCAAACCTGCAGTTCTCTATTTTAGTTCTACTCAAAGCATATTAAAAAGAAAAATAATAGCAGAGGTACTTTAATTCCTTATAAAAAGTTTAAAGAAAATTTTTCTATATATATAGATTAATAATAAAAATGATCTGCTATTATAACATTCTTCAACTAAATAAAATTTCACTGAGACCTTTTGGCTATCATATGTAACATTAACATTAGTCCATATTGTCTTCTTCGCTCTTTTTTTTCTTGCCCCCTTTTAATGCCTAACCATCTACGCACACATATGTAGACGCATGTCTTATTTGCACCTGCAGTTTATTAGCGTGTGTTTTCAATAAAGTTACGTTATATCTTGACATTGTTCATTTCTGTTTTATATGAATAATAAATATGTTTGTTTCTATAGTAAAGTGTACACATTGCATTTCATACTCATGATGAATTATGTTCTGTTTGTAATGATGAAGTACTTTTCTGTTAGAATAGCTAAAAGACGATCTTCATGATAAGATCTTGACTATTTAAACTATCGGTGCATATAGAAGAAAAAAAAGTTTTTTTCAACCTTTGTTTATGGCATTGAAGTGTCATCGCCACTACTTTTGTTATGTTTTAATGAGAAAGTTACTCAAAGTAATACTCGTCATTGTAAATCATATTGAGTTCACAAGAAAGTCTCGATACAAAATCTAAAATTTCCTTCATAAACAGATCGAAATTTCATTATTTGATTTTTCGATAAATACTTAAAATTTTGAATCAAAAATCATAATTTAGCTTCTCCAATAGAAGAACTTCTTATCTAAAAAGCAAATCTCAATAGCTTCTGTCTAGAACGGATGACTCACATAGAAATATTTTTCGTAAATAAATAAATTCGATAAGAATTTCTATCTACCTTCATAAATAGGTACAGCATGTGTAACGCCATCTCCTGAATCAAGTACAACACCTGTCGTTCTTCCACTTGCATATCTAAACAAAAAAAAAATGTTAATTTTTTAAATCAAACAAAATACATCTAAAACTTACAAACTAAGTATAGCTTGCATTGAAATAAATAAAGCAGGTACATTAAATGTTTCAAAAAATATTTCTGCTGCTTTTTCACGATTTTTTCTTGGATTTAATGGAGCTTCTGTTAATAAAACTGGATGCTAGAAAGAAAGCAAAAAAAAAACCATCAAATATAATTTTCTTTTTTTTTTTTGTAATAATTTACTTCTTCAGATGCTGATCTTAATTGATCTTTTGAATAAATATATGTCCAAATTTTTTCCATATCATTCCAATCTTGTACAATACCATGTTCCATTGGATGTGCAATATGTAAAAGTCCACGATATTCTTCAGCTTTAGGTCCTATAAATATATCACCTTCTAAACCACCAGCCATAACACGTACATGTTTTGGACGACCAACATAATTTGGAAAATTTATTTTTGGTATTGGATCACCAGCAAAACCAGCTTTAATCATACCGGAACCATTATCAATAACAATCGGTTGATTTGTAATCAATACTTCATTATCCATAATTTTTTTTTTGTTAAATTTTAATAACAATCTATTTCTCTTGTCTTTGTAAGAAATGAAAAAGGGCTCATAAGCAACCAATTAATAGATGGTTGAATATGGACTTTTTTTTGATTCGTTGAAATTAAATAACCAATGAATAAATAAAACAAAGAATAATTGTTGTTTAAAAAAAAATATATATATATACATATTTCATTCAATCACAATATGACGGATTCAATGTCAGGACAATTAAAACGTTTTGATGCATATGCTAAAACACTTGAAGATTTTCGTATACGTACAACAAGTGGTGGTCTTGTTACAATAATTAGTTCAACTATTATATTTATATTATTATTTATTGAATTAAAATATTTTTTAACAATTGATGTTGTACAAGTTTTATTTGTTGATACAAGTCGACAAGAAAAAATGAATATAACAATTGATATTAAATATCCTGTTTTACCATGTAGTTATTTAACTGTTGATGCTATGGATGTATCAGGTGATACACAAACTGATATAATACATAATTTATATAAAACAAGATTAGATTTAAATGGAAATATAATTGAAAATGATATTGTTAAAGTTTCATTACAATCATTACCAAAATTAAATAATAATAGTTTAGAAACAACAACAACAACAATTCCTGAATGTGAATCTTGTTATGGTGCTGAAACAACTGCACATAAATGTTGTCCGACATGTAATGATGTTAAAGCAGCATATAGAGTTAAAGGATGGTCATTTGATCCAAGTAAATAAATATAAAATTTTTTTGAAAAGAATTAAATTAATGATTTTAATTAGAATGTATCTATGTATCTAGGAAAAAATTTAAGAAGCTTCTAAAAATTAAACGAAAAGTATTTTATTATCTATAAGAATATATAATAAAATTTATTGATTGCAGAAATTATTCATGGAGATCATATTGAATTATTTATGGTAGAAAATAGATCACTGAAATCTGTAATCGAGTTAAAGAAGTTTACTTTATTAATCTTTATAAAGAGTCTCATTTTTATGAATAGTCGATACAATTTAATCAAGTCAGATTTAAGTACAGGGTATCCCAAAAGTCATGCTCACTTAAGAAAATTGAATATCTCCATTATAGCTCGAGCGAACGTGCTGATTTTTTTAATCAGTGATAGAAGCATGTACCAAGTTTATATGCATAAAGACATGCCTAGAGAGACCCTTTGTTAAGTATCACTATTGACCTCAACAAGAAAAACTTACTTTTTCACAGATAGAAAAAAAAGCAGTATACTTAACAGAGAATCTCTCTCAGCATGTCTTTATGGATATGAAGCCTGAACATGCCTCTATTATTGGTAAAAAAATCAGCTCGTTAGCTCGAGCCATAATGGAGATATTCAATTTTCTTAAATGAACATGACTTTTGGGATACCCTGTATTAAAATAAAATTGAAAATTAAAATATGATTCTAATGAATGTTTTTAAATAGTAAAACAAACTTCTATTGTTCAATAAATCTCTTGGTACTTATGAGGGAAATTTGCCAACTGATTAATCACTTTAAAATAGTGACAATATGCATCATATAGACCTAAATGAGTAACTCTTTCTTTTTTTTATTCAATATTAGAGCCTCTTTCAAGAACACCGAAAAACGTATATCTTGTACATCGGCAGGTTTCGATATTCTCATTTCAGAATAGGAACAATAAACAATTCTTAGTGAAACCTATTGTTGTGCAAAATTTCAAGTTGAAATTCGAAAATTTAGTTTTTGCAAAGGAGGAGTGCTTAAAAACTACAGTATCTCAGTAGTAATACAAACTTTTTTCAGGTTATTGATATCTAGAGATATGCAGGAGCAAGTTCTTTTGGTTACGATACCAGACTATTTTAGAATTTATTTGTATCATATTTTAAAAAATTTTTCAATGCTTATCTTTAGTTCTGACTGAGACAACTTTTTTTTCTCGTATTTCAGATTCTGCATATCTCTCTGTTTACAATTCATTAGAGATCTACATAATGCACATTTTAAAGCAATTAGCTAGTTCAGAGACTTCACTTATCAGTCATACTTTTGTTTATAATTCTTTAGAAATTAAATCAATATTTTCAAATATATATCAAAATTAAAGATTTCAATCGGAATAAATTTATATTCTTTATGAGTGTATGTAGTTATATTATGAAGATAGTTTAATTTCTAACTTGTTTTAAATTTATTAAATGCATGATAAGTCTTAACTAGTATTTTTTTTACTAATTTAGTTCATTTCTTTTTTTTTGTTTTTGAAATAAATAAAAATCATAATTTGACTATATTTAGCTGGTGTTCAGCAATGTATTCGTGAAGGAAAAACAATTGGTATGATTAATTCAAATAATGATGATAGTACAACAGAAATAAACGAAGGTTGTCGAATACATGGTCATTTAGAAGTAAATAAAGTAGCTGGAAATTTTCATATTGCACCTGGTCAATCATTTGAACAACATCATATACATATACATTCATTACGAAATATACGTTTAAATTTGCTTAATACAACACATTATATTGATCAATTAACATTTGGACAACAATTTCCAAATCAAATAAATCCATTATCAAATACAAAACAATTTGTTAATTTACATGATAATGGTGCTGTACTTTATCATTATTATGTTAAAATTGTACCATCAGCATATGTTTTTTTAAATCAAACACAATTAATAACAAATCAATATTCAGTTACAAAACATAAAAAAATTATTAAAAATTTATATGATTCATCCGATCATCAAATACCAGGAACATTTTTTACCTATGAAATAAGTGCAATAATGGTTAAATTTATTGAACAAAAACGTTCATTAGCACATTTTTTAACATCATTATGTGCAATTATTGTTAGTAAAAAATATCTTCTTTACTTTTCTTTTTTTTTTCATAGATGATTTACATTATATATTTGTTGTAGGGTGGTGTTTTTACTGTTTCAAGTTTAATTGATGCTTTTATTTATCGTGGTAGTTGTCTTCTACATAAACAACTTGAATTAGACAAAGCAACTTAAATGGTTTTTTGTTTTTTTTTGGAATATTATTTTTATATTGATAAAAGAAAGTTTTCTTTTGTTTTTGATTGTCGCTAGAATTGTTATTTTATCTTTATTGTTAATGAAAGAAACTAGTTTTGGTGTATAATAACGATACATATGAAAAAAGAAAACAAGTTATCAATTTTAGATAAATATGCGTTTTCGTCAATGGATTTCATCGACATATAAAAATCTATATGATGTATGTTTAAATCAAGCACCATTTTATCATAATGAAACTACAAAAGGTATGTTTTGATGGTTTAGATCAATTAGAATTTTAGAAAGAAAAAACAAGGTATTATTCAAATATAGTGAAACTTGCACTAGGGAATATTTTCTTATTATAAATGATCTTGGATGTGACAGAGTGATTTTTGCTGGAAATGCTTCACGTTGACTTTTTGTTTCTTAGATTAGTTAAAACCTTGATCCTTTACTTGTTCATATACATAAAGGGTAGCAGATATTGGTGGAAAAAAGTTCGGGTATGAACCCGGTCAAGTCCGTGTCTTGGCTTTTTGAGTTCTGACGATCTCCATAGTTATCTTGATAGTTTATTTGAGAATCCGGATACTTGCTCACTAGGATAGTTGCTCTCGAATGAAATGACCGCTTAATAATAAATGAAAGACTACAGAACAAAATTGACTGTATGGATCGTCTTCGTGGACGCTGAAGACGAACAGCAACATTTTCCCTTAATCTGTGGAATATGGCAGCGCATATGAAAAATTATATGCATCAACCAAATAACAACGTGGAAGCATGGCATCGAAAATTGAACTGTGTATTTCAATGTAAACATCCCACATTATGGACATTTTTGGCTAAATTAATCAAAGAAGAATATAATATATATTCGAATATCATTAATTCTATTTCTGGTAGTCAACCATCAAAACGAATCATTAAACCAACGATTACACAATTTAGTTCAAGATTCACATGCCGACATCAAGGATCAGTTAAAATACATTTGACGTTTACTATCATTGTAGAGTGTCGTGTTTGTTTTCCTGTTGTTACTATTAAAGGATATTGTCATATATCTCATATATATATTTACTACGAAGTATTTTTACGAGCAAGTGTCCTAGTGAGCAACTGTTCTAAAACCATTTATTTATAAAATATCTGATGTAATTAAAAAATAAAGTAACCATACATGTCCATAGTTTTTACAGGTATCCGTCTATTACTCAGAGATGAACAAGTCAAGTCTAAAAATGTATATACAGTGGGTCCCAAAATTGTTCAACAAGATGTAATTTGGATTTTTTTTCGTAGCCTTAAGTGCTCGAAAGAATTCAAATAGTGATTTGAATAGAGAATATTGTTACCCACAAGAATTCGACAAAATGACAACCATCATGAATTTTCCCAAAGTAGGGTTTCTGGAAAACCTAAATCGTAATTTTTCAACGTTCAAAAGCCACAACAGAAAACTTTTTTTAACAGTCTAGAATTATAGAGCAGCCAATTCTCTCCAAAAGTTATAAGCATCACAAAAATCGAAAAATTGCGTTTTTTAGTCGATTTTCCCATAAATTTCACTTTTTTTTCGATTTTTGTGATGCTTATAACTTTTGAATGGAAGGTCGTAGCTAAAGGTATTTTATCCATTTCAATTTCGGTTTTCTAACTTGAAATGTAATGGAAAAATAGAAATGAAGATTAGCAAAATATATCCATAGAATGAATTTGCGTGAAATAAGATGATGACTGTTGAAATAGGTAGAAAATCTTTTTTTTTAATTTTTATTGGGCAATTCATTTCTAAAAGATTTGCTTAATGGAAATACGTTGTTTTTATAATAATTAAATTAATAAATAATTTAGCAAACGATAGTAATACTTTAATATAAATTAAGGAAACAATGTTTTCGATAATTTGTCTTCAATTAAAGAAAACTTGATGAAAACCGGATTGAACTTCAACTTGACTTGTCCATCTCTGCTATTATATGTATGAAGAATATAATGATATCATAATATGAGCTTAGCCTGCAAGTAAAAAGTGGAATTAATTATTGGATTAGAATCAAAATTAATAATAATTCCAAAGATGAAAAACATTGAAAGATTTTTTTGAAAAAAGCTAAACCTTTTATTGCAATCGAAAAATTATTCAATGTAAGTTATTTAGACAAACAAGAGAATAAATCATGTTGATATCTTGGAAGTTTTTCTTCATTTCATAACATTCCATGCAGGGTATAGATGCAAATGTCTCTCACTCACACCCAACCTTTCATCGAACGTTATTCTCATAATGAATAAAACACTAATTTTATCATTTAAAATTTCTTCTCTCATATGTCTTGAATATATTCTTTATATACAATAGAAACTCGACCTGATCATAATTATTGTCGACCATGGATAGATGATCCAACAATATCAAGTGCACTTCCACGAGTTCAATTATTTTTAAATTCAATTTCAACGTATGTATTCTTTTATAGTTTTTTATTTTAATATTTCAAAAAAAAAGAATTTCTCTAGAAATGATTTAATTATTGACATTGATGATAATCAAAAATTGAATAATGAAAATATTAAAAAAATTAATTGGACACCAACAATTAATACAATTATTCCAGAAACATTTGAATATTCACAACAATTATCTAATGAAAATCTTACTCAAGAACAAGAAACATTTATTCAAGATATTCGTGAATTAATTAATGAAACACATATTGCTTCATTATGTTGTGAATCAGTATAATTCAATGATTTTATTTTATTACATAACAAAAAAAAAGAAATTTTATTTTTTTAGAATAATTGTAATGTTATCTATTGGCGTTTATCAATACATCATATTGTTTCAAAACTTTATTCACTTCTTACTCTTCATTCAAATGTAAAAAAAATTAAAATTATTGATATAAAAATAAAACAATGAGATTTTTCGAATTATTCTAGTATAAAAATTTACTTGATTGGCTTCATGAATATATATGTAGAACATTTGATCGAATATTAATTGGTCATTATGTAGATCTATTTCAAATACTTTATAATGAGGTTTGAAAATCTAAAAAAATTTTAAATCAATTTTGTTTTCATTATATCAGATTTAGTATCCTAATATTCGTTCATTATTTATTGAAAAAACAAAATCATATTCAACAACAACAAGTCTTTGTTTATATGTTTATAATAAATTACTTCAAAAACCAAATGATCTTACTGAAGAAGTTATTTATAGTATAACATTGGTAGTTAACAAAAAAACAAATATTTGTTTTGAAAGAAAAAAATTCGCTTTTTTCTGTGTTTTTTAGTCTTCATTACCAATACCAATTGTTTGTCTTTTAATTCCTGGTTTAATATATGAAGGTCATATGGAACGTATTCAATTTTGGCAACGAAATCTTTCTCAAATAGCAATAGTTATGCTTTCGATAGCAATTGAAAAAGATAATAAATCAGAACAATTACAAATTCAAACAGCTTATGAAGATATTATTACGAAATTTAATGAAGTAAATTAAACGAAAAGTTTATACTCTTGTCTACAATAGTCGGAATCTGATGAGTTAACATACAACCACTTTTTGTTTTTCTATAGATTTCACTTCCGAGAATATTAGAAGAATATTTCGAAAACTTATGATTTTATAGGTAGATTATACTAGAAGGTTTACAACAAAATTGTGGTAATTAGATAGCTGGAGTTCGGAAACTATCCAAGCGTTTTTCGAACTTTATAGGCAATTGTGGAAGCGAGTTAAGCTCACGTTTAAATATTTCTGAAAATTGCTAATAGTTCTTAGAATCACAGGAGACCTTCGATCTTTGATCATTTATACCAATGCATGTAGATCTACAATAGTCAAGCCTGAAATCCTTCCTTTTGACTTGTTTCTACTTCTTTTTATTAATTAATTGAATTGTACACAAACGTCTTCATAATTTTCAATATTCACTTCTGTATTTAGCGCTGTATTCGATATACTGTTCGTACATTTCTATTGGTGATAGACTGAATAATCTAATGTGAAGTATCAAACTACTGCTGATAGAACGAATAGAATACTTAGGAATTAACTATCGAAACAAAAAGGCATAAAAAGACTGCTAAGATAAATATAATAGAAAAATGTTTAATACTTATCAAGTAGAATTGAAGTATAAGAAATTTTTATTTTGAATTAGCAGCATAGAACCTATAATAAAATGAATATTAATCATGATCGATTATACGATAGAGACATCTCAAAAAGTTTGTTCAAGGTCATATTTTGTCGACTATCAGGACCCTATTATCTAGATAAGAATTCTAAAAAGATATATGTCATTAGTGCTCTTTTCTTAAATTATTACATTTACGACGAAAACTAATGCCACTTTATTGCTAGTGCTAGAGAAACACATCTTCTCGTACAGTGGCCACGCGATATCACTAGTCGTCTGGGATATGTACAGAGTGCGTTAGTCACCGAATACAAAAAAACCCAGAAAAAAAAGTTTCTTCAACATGCCTATTCAATACTAATTAGAAGATTTTATTACGAATATTAAAGTGCAGTTCGATCGAATCCGGGATCCGAAAATTTTTAACGTGATGAGCTCTATAAACAAGTGCAAAAGATATTAGACAAGAAAAATAGTCACATAGAGTTGAATTAGAAATATATTCTTGAATTTTTAATTAATAAATTCTTATTTTTAAGATTCGTCAACTCTATCCAAATCATCATATAATGTTTCTTGGTTGGAATGTTGGTTGTATTCTTGCACTTAAAGCTGCACTTGTTTGTTCTGTTTCAACTGTCATTTGTATGTCTCTACCATTTGAAGCTTTATCTGAAGAAACAAAAGTAAAAAAAAAAACAAGATAAATTTTATACAACAAAAAAAATAAATTAAACTTGTTGATTTCTATTAATAGAATGATTTTACTCAAATAAATGCATCTATTTTATTTCTAACCGGTGAAAAACAATATACAAATCAAATTG